GCATCGTCTGTGCAAAGGGAGGAAGAGAATTCTTTGCCAGCACACATACCCACACTACAAGAAATGTTACGGGAAGTTCTTTATATTGAAAGTGAATGACACCTGGTGGAAAGTCAGACTTACAAGAAAAAATGAAGAATTTTGGAAATGGTAAATATATATTTTCTTGTCTTGATTACTCAAGCAAAAAATCATAATACTGTTATTGGGTTTATACTGTTCATATAATTATATAATAAAATATATGGCAAAGTTGTCAGAGTGGAAAGAAGCAGATAAATGGAATTATAAAAAAAACCAAGCAACTAAATATTCAATGTTCAAGATAAAAGTGCTTTCAGATAAATAAATAAGAAAATCACAGCTAAATCAACTACACAGAGAGAGCCTGTAATGCCACATACCAAAACAATAACAGGATCGTGCAGAGGTCCATCTGTGTGAAGAGTTTCAATGTCATCTTCAATATTATAATCCCATTCCACACCAAGATCAATGAAGGTCCGTGACTTGGCTTCTTCCCCTTTGCCATTTAAAATATAGTGGCCTGTAGCCTGGTTCTTAATAGCTAAAGGAAGAAAAATGAGTAACCAGCAGACATTTTATTTTATCATATTGCAGCTTTGATGCTCCCTATTAAGTCTCTCTACCCCCTTCAATAAGTCAAAGACTGTGTTTATTAGCATCAAACAAGACAAACTGAGTGTTAGTTCTGCTCTGAGTCCCTTTTCCTTCATTAGGCATTTAAAATCCCCAAGAAGGATTTCTAACTAGTCAAAAACAATAGCAAGAAGGTTACGTAGAAGCTAAAAATTGGGAAATGTTCCCATTTGAAAACACTGTCAAAGAGGTTAACAGTTTCAAACTCACTCAATCCTAGACATTTCCTCAGAAACCTGGAGACACTTTGAAAATAATGGATACTTCTATAATAATTAATTTAAATCATGTATGTTAGTTCAGCATATAATATAATGGCTTATTATAACATAATGGCTTATTTATTACTGTGTATCTCTTTCAAGTTATTCAAAAGAATCTTCTTTAGGAAATTATAAACAGCCATGCAAAGGGATCTGCATGTACCAGTCAGAAACTGGACACAGAACAGATGGTGGGAAAACTTTTATTAGACTAGTAAAGTTCACATGTGGTTGCTTTTCAGTCAAAAAACTTAAAATGCAATAAAATTAAGGAGAGGCATACAGTATGGCATCAACCAAAATATCAGAACTAATTTGTCAAAATAAATATGGCAAATTTTTCTGATATTATTCCTTACTTTAATGCATTTTAACATATTTATTTTTTCGTATCCCCTAATGCAGAGCAAAAACGCACATGTACAAATCTGCCAGATGGTTTTTCTTTCTTCATGAAATAATGAACCAATCAAGGTTCAACAAAAATTAAATCTCTATTTTTTAATATTTCTTGTTTTAAAGGAATAGTAGTTGGGAGAAATGACCAACAAAATCACACAATAATGCATTTATATATAACTTGAATCATGCATATCTATGTGTATGTATATGTGTGTGTGTGTATATATGTGTATATATGTATATATGAATATATATACATCTATAGACATAAATATCTATATATAGAGATATATATAGATATACATATACATATATAAGTATAGATATAGATATATCTTTGACAGTTCCATGTTTAAATGCATGTTAAAGCAGAGCCAGTGGACAGAAACACTTACCAAGAATATGAGGAGAAGCCTCGTCTTCTTGGATTAACACATGTCTAGCACCAGGGGGTATATCAAACATCTTAAGGTACCCTTTGCATGTGTAGTAAATTTTGTAGGAAGCAAAGGAGAAAACAAAAGCGACAACCTTGGTTAGTTGAGCATTACGTTCTCACTGTTCCTGCACGCAGAAGAGGGCATACATGAACTGAAAGAAGCAGTTTCAGAAATTAACTTCAAAGCACTGGTAGCTTGTGTGACATCTGGCATGAGATTAGGGGCTACACTCCCTTTTTTTAATTAAAGAGGAAGAAAAGAGTTGATCTTGTTTCTAAACTACTAGCCATTTATCTTGTGTTGACCTATGAATTCTGTCAACAATTCAGGCAAATTCTATACTTTCCTGAGTCCCTCTACTGTGATTTTAGTTTGTAAACCACTCTTTGGAAGTGCAGCCAATTTTTAGAGTATTTAGCTGAACTTCTGAAAATATTTTATCAACCTCTATATTATTTCAAAAGTCTAAGCAGTGAGTACAGATCGCTAAACTTCTAATTAATAAGTTATCTTCGTATTTAAAATCCTGCCTTATTCTAAAGAAATCTATAATAATAAAAGAAAATATGCTAATTAAACCGGATGTCCTTCTGGACGTCCTTCCTTCTGGACAAAGCCGCAGTGGCCAAGGCTGGGGTCAAGGCCCTTGCATGAATTTCATGCACCGAGCCCGTAGTTCAGTTATAAATACACAACTGCTGATGGACTTGGAAAGAAATATGTTTTCCATTTGTATATGGACAATTATCATCTACCTATGGGTAGAATGATCCAACTTTTCACATTATTCATTAGTGGTGTAACTAATGGAATAGTAATTTTGGGGTCAGGGTTTTAGCACCTGAGCCAAGGAACGTCCAGTACAAGAAAAGTAACACGTTTGCCTAAGTGTGCAATGGCTACGAGTTAACATGCTTCAGAAGCTAAGGACAGCAAAACAGCTTGATTCCATTTATGGATGCCCATCTTTCTGCAGTGTGCGACAACTTACCCAGTACATTTTTAGCTTCCCTTGTTTCAGCAAGAGAAACATTACGAGCTCCTTTGGGTAAAGTGAAGGCGCTTCTTGTCTTCCCTTAAATAGAATGTCTTTAATTAGTGGAGGTTTCGTGTTTATCAAAGTCTTGCTGTTTCATTGACTATATGCTAAGCTATATACATATATATATATATTATTAGATAAGTTAAAAATATGTTCTGTAATTTTATGTCAAAACGCATATACAATAGTTAGCTAATGCCAATAAACTGTTAATAGTCAATGAAAGTAAGACTGCGCATGAATGAAAAATGATATAGGTGATTTGAAGGTGAATACTTGCAGATTTCATTTCCCAGCAACTCGAATTCTGTATGGCACCGCTTGCTTAAATGTTTCCCTGTTGGGAAAGGTTAATTAGTCTATTGAATGACTATCACAGCCTTAGTGCAAAGAAGTGGATGTTAGATTATCTTTGAACAGTTTGAATCTGTATGGCTGATGAAAGCTTTCTTCTTTTCTTCTGACCTTGATTCACGGGTTTAGCATAATTTTTGAGGTGTCTGCAAAAAAGTATCACTAGCTCATATTAACACAATATATAGAATAAATGAGTCTAAAAATTTTCATTACATTAACTCACTCTGGAAAGAAAAAAATGAATAATTTTACACCTAAAATAATAATATATAACTGCAGTAAATCACTTCATAAGATGGAGAAAATTACATTTTACTCCACCAGCCCATTATTTATTTTTATATATAACATTCTAATTCTGTTTGCTTTATTAAAATAATATAACCAGCAAGAAGGCAATATTTGCTTTTTAACAATGTTCAAGGTACAAAACAGTAAATTATCTCACAGGAATAACAAAGACATTAATAACTACAGCAAAGAATGCCTAAGAAAACACACTGGAGTTAAGTTACCTAGCTCTGCCACCCTCAGTATATCAGAGCAAAGCAGGGATGTGTGGAATTGACTTGAGTTGGGTAGCTGATGTATAATGAGAATAAAAAGAACTAAGAGAATTATTTCATTTGGATGAAGACCCACTTTTTTATAATTTCTTTTCTCTTAAATTAACACCACAACATATGCTCAAAGTACACCAAATCGTTTTGTGTTATTTTGGATGATATATGAGAAGTTTCTCAAGGGAAGCACCACATCAAATTTATTTTTAAATGTCAAATTATCAGAAATATTTGCCTAATAAATACTTATTGAATAACAAAATATTTGTTATAAACTAAAAACAAAATTTGTAATAAGTGTTTGCATCTAAATTTTTTATGAAAATTCCAATGGATAATTATAAGACTACTAATATCTTTTCATATTCTTTATGTTTTTGTTTCACCTGTTGAAATTTACCATATCATATGCCTAAGACCAGGTCATTAATTATATAGTGAGCACAAAAGTTCACATGTACAAGCAATTATACCATAGGTTATTTTTGTTTGTACCTCAATTTTGTTTAATATAAAATTATAAAAAATATATGAAATATGGACCCTAGATTTATAGACTTAAAAAGAGGAAAAACCTGTTCACTTTTAAAGTAAAAGAAGTAAAACTAATGTAATAGTTTAAATCGTATCTAAAGTTTTATGATTTTTTTACGTTCTAACAATTTATGTACAATAGAAAGTTCAAAATAAGCATCAATTTTATTAGATCTAATGCATTTTATTAAAAGCAAAATAAAACAAAACAGATTTTAGCTAACTACTATAATCAATAGTGATTTTACTTGTTCCTTATCAAAATTTAGTAGATAATTTTTTAACATGAATGCTATGGAGCATGAAAAGTTTTTAAAAATATTTCCTTAAAAGGTTATCTGAATAAAAATAAATCAGCAGCTAATGTTTTATCATGTTTATAGAGAAAATGCTGCATTTTTAAACAACTTCTCAAAAAATACAAATCATAGACAAGGACACCAAATCCATCAGAGGCCTCATCTTACCAAGCTTCCTGGGAGTTCTGGTAAAGGTCCCCTTCACAGTTCGACAATGAGAATTATCTCCTCCACAGACACCACACTTATCCTCAACCTTGTTAGAGCCAATTTCTTTATCACAGCCCACTTTCTGGGGAGAGAGGAAGTGAAATGTGGCTAATCTTAATGTGTCAAGTCAAGGTCCGTGTCCTGATGACTTTGTTTAATCAGGAGCCCACAGTTAAGCCGCTTGCACCAAACTTTCTTTCTGGCTCTGATTTAAATTCCTCAGTCTTTTAAAAGAACTACTGTGCAATCAAGTGACTAGTACTCCAGATAAACTCCCCCCCAGTCTAATGACCATCATACACAGTCATCATCATCATCAAACATGTATTAAGCACAAATGTTGTAGTAGATGCTGAGGAGATGAAAAGTTGGTGAGTTTCCCTGGCTGCTCTCATATTTATGAAGATGAATAGTAAAACTGTGAGTTGTACATTAGTACAAGCTTTACAAGTTGGTTAGGAACGGAGGACAAAACTTTACCAAAGTGGAAGAGACATTCACAGGTCCCTGAAGGAATCGAGTTTGTGGAAATAGATTTTAGGAGTGTGGAGGGATTCAAACAGAGCCATGGAAATTGTGTGTTCACATAAAGTGGGTTCAGAGAACAATATTTAGCCATATTTAAGCCAATGGGAAGATGGTGCTAAGCACAGGCTGTGCAAGGCCTTGGGTGTTTACATTTTCACATTAACGTAACTGGGAATTACAGAAGGTCTTCGGAGCTGGGGCAGCTCCTAATGTAAATCAGTGTAGGATAAGAATATGTGGCATGCCACAGCACTCATAAGTTTGAGGTGAAAGTGGACAGAAGAAATAATTATCACACATCCATTGATGTGCGAGACATGGGGGAGGAGAAAAATGACCAAACACAGATTTTACTTTCAGGGAAAATTCAGATCAACTATGAGGCACCTGTGCATGTAAGAGTCATTAATATAACACTAGTTGTTCTGAAGTGAAAAGAAACCAAACAGGAGCGATGTGTTCAGTTAATAACGATAGTCCCCTATCAATTTAGCATGATATGTGAACACGAGTAAGAAAAAAACTGCCTTTAAAAAAGAGATTAAATGGGGCCAAAAAAATAGTTTTTGCATCTTCGCTATTTTTTTTCCAAGAAAAGTTTCTCTTATCTCTTAAACAAAATATAAAGGACATTAAGCATTGATTTTTTTAAAAAAAGTGTACTTTAACAGCAGATGGCTACTAGTCAAAAACTCAAAGCAAAGGCATTGTTCCCACGTTGTATTCCCAACCTACAGACCTCAGAGTGACTTAGGAAAAGGATTTGGCTGGAAACTGGGACGACTACAGTTGAGTCTTGATTCGGCCAGTGAGCAAAGTTTGATTTTATTAAGTGCAGTTTCTCCCAGACTTAGTTTCGCTAATGAGCTATTCAATACATTTACATCCTAATGTGATATCCCAGATATGAAGTGGTTTCAAAATTCTGAAAAATATGCCGATGAAAGACAGTAAAAGTAGAATTGCAATATATTGCAGGGCGCTCACCACACACTCTCCTCGCACACATATGCTGTACGGGTCTTTGTAGGAACAGCGCGTCCCATCGTGTACCAGCTGTTTCATGTAGGCAACATCGCCAGTCTCTTTGGATTGACAGTAAAGGTGGCATCTTTTCTTGGCTGCACGAGATGGAGGATTAAATCAACTACGTAAAGTGGTATATTTGAACAGTATAGTTTATTTTATTTTTTAAATATAAAGTTTCAACACGATTTCCCCGAAAACAAACAAGAAAAAAGGTATAAATAAATAAAATAAAGAGAAGAAGAAATTACACATATTTAACGTATTTGTTTCAACCAGGGGGACCATATGATTTAACATCTAAACTGGGATACCCTTGAGAGTGAAAAAGGGCTCTATTAGTAACTACACAGGGACAACAGGTCTAAACTGGAACTATCTCAGCAAACGAGGTTGTGCAGCAATCCTGGATTTAACCCGGCTCTTCAAATGCTCTAAGTCAGAACCATTGTGCTTTCAGTGGTGCTGACGGCGCCAAAAGGGTTTCTCCTTCATTTAACCCAATGGCCTAGTACGCCTTTTGCCTTTGTATAATCTCAATTAAATTTAATATAATTTCTGTGACTCACTCCACCAAAATAGACTGAAAGAATAATAATGCATTTCTTCTTAACTCCAACTTTTAATTCCTACATGGATGCATCTTCCTTTTAAAACAGCTTTTCACCTGAACTCAGTAGTGCACTATCCCACATGATAATCAAGTAATTATTTTCTTATATTCACCCAAGTAGGAAATATGGTGAGAAGTTTCCATTCGAACACAAGTAACGGAAAATTCAAGGGTAAGAAGTGAAACGTTAAAAGGGAGTTTCCAAGTGTATTTTTCAAAAACTGGTGTATAGTACAAAAGTAAAATGGTTAGGAAGTTTCTGTTGTTACTAAATACTGGTCTTATTCTTACTCCTGGCCCCACTGTAAAAGAACAGTATTTCCCTCTAATTATTCAGAAAGGACAGATAACAGAATTCCAAAAGTGTTTCCTAGTAGAGGGATTTCCATTGAATGAGGAAACTCGACATCTCTTCAGGCTTTTCATTTTGTCTGCATTCCACTGGTCTTTTCAGTAGTGATGGCGGTAGTGCTACTTGCCAGGAACTATTCCACAGTCTCACCTCTTAAAGAAAGGAGGACGTTCACCTTATTCTTGGAAACCCAGAAGGACTTACCCTGTAAGCACCACGGTTTCTAAGTTACCACATAGGGATCAAGAGTCCAAGGGATCGGTGTAGACAAAGCATACACTCTAAGTAACCAACCACACAGCGGGGAAAGGGCAGGCATCTACTCACAGTCAGGATGTTCATAGGGCATCCAGTGGTGCTTGGTGTTCTGGTATTCAAAGTGGGAGTTACGCTGCTGGCACTGCTGTGCTCTGAAGTCTTCAAAGTGCTTGGGGCATTCATCTGTATTACAAAGCTGGTACTCAAAATTAACACCCGGACAATCCTGACCACCATTGATGGGCCTAAAAAAAAGACAACATTTAAAAAGGCCTTTTGGCTCTGGTCCAGCAGTGAAAGCTTGCAGACACAGTGCTCGAGGGAGGGCAGAAAGCCAGAGTTTCTGAGCTGCCAGCACCAAGTGAATGAACTCATACTTCCTAATTGCAATTCCTTTCCAAAAGCACCATCCTCTCCCTCTGGGGGCAGGGAGAGGGCCCCAAAAGTCAACTTCAAGTGGCTTTTCAGACAGTGTATTTTAAATGCATGGCAAAAATCTATAAAGAAATAAAAACATAGATATCAACGTGAAAATTTTTTATTTTCTACCATGCATAAAACATGTAAATGCAGCCCAAAGCGACTGTGACCACCGTTCTATGCCTCAGTTTCCCGTCTTTTCTTCCTTAGAGAAATATTGAGAGGATTGAATGCATGAACATATTTGAAACACTTAGAACAGAGTGTGGCTCCTAGTGAAACTTAGCTGCTCTTACTACTGTAATTTTTACTTTTTTTTCTACTACCATCATCTCTTCCTGTGAAGACATGTATGTGACTTCAGTGTTTATAAAAGACATGTTCAGAGCCATCTGCTGCCAGACACACAGGGCTGCTCACATTTTAAACCCTAGGCAAGGAAGAATGTCCTAAGGTTAATATTTTGGTTATTTTTCCCCTTAGAAAATAAATTTTCTTCAGTACGCAATAGGAATTCAATCAATTTAGTCTGAGTGAATAAATTGATAACTTTCCCCAAACAGTTCTTTGGCCTTCTTCTACCATCTTTATTTTGTTGTTGCCCTGCCCTGAAGCATCCCCCTTCTCCAAGTGAGTGAGCATGTGTTTGGTGCTACTGCCACCATGACACACCTGCGCTTCTTACAGTGGGTCTCACGGCCGTGGCGCCCAGGCCCTCAGAGCACAGTGATGGGCTTCCCTACTCAACTCTTTAATATTCCTAAGCAGCAATTTCCTCAAAAATCTCATTTTCATTGGAGCCTCTCATCTTAACCACTGACTATAGTTAACAAAATTGATAAATGGAGATTTATCCAAAATAGACACTTAACGCCTTAGTTTTCGTGCTCCATATTTTACATGTACTTTACGAAATAGTAATAACATTATATTGAAGCATTTTCTGGCCTTTACAAAAGTGACAGAATTACAGGGATCATACTCACATTGGATTGTTGCACTGGCGTGTTCTGAAACGAACACCAGTTCCACACGTCCGGGAACAGGAGCCAAATTTGGTCCATGATCCCCAATTGCCATCTTGTTTTTGTTGATTAGCATTCTTCCACATGCAATGGCCCTTGTAGCACCACTTAGGAAAATGACAAAGGGCAACTGTGAAAATCATGCATATGCTACAGTTGTTATATAAGAACCACCAATGAAAGGGCTTCATTCCCCCAACCCCCACTAGGTGGAAATGTATTTACAATGACCCCAAAGTAATCTATATATATAAAAGGCTAATATGCTAAGTGTCCGGGTAATGACATCACATAGCAACAGCTGCCTTTCCCTAGTGACTAGCCTCCTTGGAGTTTCTTCAGCCCAGGAACACAACTTGCTTTATAGCGAGGTGCAAACATTTCACAGTTTAACCAAATGTCTGTGAAGCGTTTTTAGGTGCCTCATCTCATCTGATCCTGGAGTTGGTAGATAGGAGATTCAGTGGAATTCTATTTTCTTCTCAATAGCCAGAAAACAGAGATTTAAAAAGCTCAGAAATTTGACCCAACTAAAAAGGAAGTAAGAAATGGTAGACCTTGAAAATAACTTCACTTTTTTTTACTGCACAGAATATAGTCAACACTTCTGCAGTTAAATATTTTACCCTTTGTTCTCCCTGGGTGATCTACAATAATAATCTGCTTTGTGTTGATATTTACTGCTGTGTTGCTGACAATTACCTGAAAAAGAAGTTGGGGTGCTTCACTGGTCTGGAAAAAGTTTAGCTACATCAGAAAGCAGGCCTAATTAGGCAAGTTTATTCTATATTTATGAAAGGCTAAGTTGACTCAAGCATGTGCGATACATATAAACCTCTCACTGGCGCCAATTGCACACGTGTGTTTCGATCTGTCATTGTTGATCATGAATTTGGTTGTTTTTGTTGATGTTCTGAAGCTGAAAGAAAGTGGTGCATGGAAGTAACAATGGCAATTAAATATGATTGTAATAGTGATCTGGATAGATATAATTATCCCTGTGTAACCGAAGTTGCTGCCATATTCAGAAAAGAAGATGGAGGACCTCTTTTTGAAAGGGACTTATTCATTATAAACCAGATCCCAATAATCTGAATCCTAATAATAACTCAAATGAAACAGATCAATATCCTGTTCCCTATATTAGATGCAATGATATATGCTATTCTTTTCCCACATGGTGAAAAATGCTGGGGAACGGATATTGCATTAAGACTCAGAGATGACAATATAATTGACAATAATACTAGATTCAACGGATGATGCCAAAAAGGAAAATTTTCCCATCAAATTTCTCAAAAGTGTTACTCCTTTGAGAATCCCATGTCATAAATTAGAATTGAAAGTAGGTGCAATCATCATGCTACTGGGAATCTTAATAGTAAATGGGGTCTTTGTAATGGTACTAGATTATCAAAAGATTGTGACCTAACATAACTGAAGCTGAAGTATTAACAGAATCTGTGGAGGAGAGGTTGTTCTGATTCCAAGAATTGATTTGTCCCATTTCTGACACTGGCCTTAGTGTTAGAATAAGTTTAATCAATTTATCAGTCATTGTTTTCATCAATGTTGTTTTTATATCACGTTTTTGTTTTTATGTCATGTTTTTGATCTTTGTATATCACATCTTTGTTGTTCTTATATTATGTTATTGTTTATTTTTAATCATTTATATATTATTTTCACATACATTTTACTAATTTTCTTTCATCTCTGACACTTCTATAATAAAGGGTGAATAACAATATTAAAATATTTCTTCTAATTAATTTCCCTTCAATGTGCATGAATCCCTGCACCAGGCCACTAGTTATAACAATAAGGTTCCCTATACAAAGGGTGATTTAGACTTACTAGTATGTTCTTAAGTATAAAATTGAAATGAAAAAAATAATTCATTCTGAAGAAGTTTTATATGATATATTTATTGGTAAGTATCAAACATGACCAATAAAAATGATCACTGATTTGCATAGTAGGTAATGTGGAAAACTGGAACCTGGAAAGGATCATGAGTTATATGAGACCATCTGACCAGTAAGTAATGACGTGGGAACTGCTAGAACCCTGATAGCATGGAGGCACCTACCTGAAAGTGCCTGGCACACAGCATGTGCTCAGAAGGTGTTCTTTCCCCTTCCAACATTTTGACTTGCTTTTTTATCCCACAATAAAAGTGTTTCTTAAAACTCAACTCTGGTAAATTTGAATATAACAGAAGTGAGTTTTAGGAAGTTGGATGTTCCGAGTTTATTTGGAGGATATCTTTTTCATAAAGCAAAAATGAATCAACTCACTGTTGCTCTTGTTTTTTTAGTCAAAAGTTTGTAATACTACATTTCCCCACAGTGGCACACCATATATAATGTGTTAGGCATAGTGCTGAACAAAGTTTAAACACGAATAATGGCAGGTTTTGTATTATTATTATTATTATTATTATTATGCTTGTAAACCTCATTGCAAGTACAGTTTATACACATTTGCAATAGAGCTTTAAAGGGCATTAAAAGAACTAAAAGCTTTATGAATCTTCTTTGCCAGCTTTTGGTCCCGTCTACCATATCTTATTTCCAAACTAGTAAAGGCACTTCAACTTGAGTTCTTAAGATGCCTTTGTTTTGGAATGGGTGATCTCTCCCCTATGAGTAGGGTAGCTTGGCACTTGACCAGTTTCTGAGCATTCAATCCTGACTACACAATTTGAGATTTAAAACCTCTGGGCATCTTTCCCCAAAGGAGCAAGGCCAAATCTTCTGGATAAATTCACAGGACTTTATTTCTGGACAAGTTTCACAAGGAGTGGGAAGCCAACAAGTACATCAAATCCCATTAGCAGGGTCCCAGATAGTCTGCTGAGCTGCTGCTTCGTAATCTATCAGTAGTGGGTTGAATAGTCCCAAAGATCTCAGGCCCTAGAATCTGTAGATATTACCTTATTTGGAAAAGAGTCTTTTGAAGGTGTGATAAAATCAAGGACTTTGAGGGGAGGCTATCCTGCATTATTCAAGTGGGCCCTAAATGTCACCATGTGTACCCACCCTCATAAGAGAGGGGCAGAGGGACCTTTGCACACAGAAGAGAAAGGAGCAATGTGGTCAGAAGTTAGAGATTGGGATGGTGCAGCCACAAGTCGAGGAATGTGGGCAGCCACTTGAGGAAGAGGCAAGAACAGACTCTCTATTACAGCTTCTGGAGAGAGGATGGTCCTGCCCACAGTGAAACTGTGAGAAAATACATTTCTGTTCCTTTAAGCCACTGAGCTCATGGTAATTTGTTAGAGCAGTCGTTGGAAGCTACTATATAATGTTCGTACATTACCATAATGAAACCTCACGTGCTATGGTCCTCATAAAAATGAAAAAATACAGCTATGTTCATCATGTTTCAGACTTTGAAAGGTGATTAAATCTCCATAGTATAGACTCACTTTTCCAGAAGCACATTCAGTCCCATCAAGTGGGGGTCCCTTTTTAGTCTTACAAAAGTAAGGGTTATCAGGATGGCTGCACCACAGCTGTTTACATGGGTCAAAGGTTCGGAACTGAAAGAGAGAGAATCAAAATCACAATGAAACACAGATAGCAGGACATGCACCAACAACATCTGCTGTTTTAATTTCAAGTCAATAGCCTAAGTTGTGGCATGGTGAGAAAAAAATAATGCCTAAGAATTCTAAGCTGAGAATATTTTTATTCTGCTTTTTAAAATAATAGTGATAAACAATTTATCTGAGAGTCTCTAGTTGACACAGTATTTCTATATGCCAACCCTATCTTCTGGCTTTCAAGTAGACAATATTAGAATTTAAAATAGTAATTATTATGAACATTTTAAATATGAAAACTTATTATAATGTTTTTCTAGCTTTTAAGCTATCAAAACAGCTTCTCAATACCCCTAAGTATGAATTAAGTCAGATATAAATAATAAAAATGTCCATTATAATGAGCTGACTAAAAGCAGAAAATATTTGTCAAATTTTCTATGTAAGATAACATATTCCAGGTATAACAAACTATTACAATAGATTCATGCAGTTTATAAAATACATTCCATGTATTTGAGTCTCATGACAATCCATGGCTGAGAAGTATCGGTTACAAGATAAGGCTATAGCGATGGTTACAAGTGAGACAGTAACATAGCCCAATGGAGTCTTAGTTTCCTCAATCTTAAGACTGTTTGTTATTTTCCCAAAACATCACTTTATAGTATCTAAATGTATGCGTCAGCATACATATTTGTGTGTGCTCTTTAGTTATCTGTTCTCCTTCTAACTATAAACACCTTACCATCCTTCAGATAGATTTTTTAAAAAATATAAAACACCAATTTACTCAGATATAATTGCCTACACCACCAATTATATTGGTCAGAGCTTTTTCTTGATTAGTACTCATTTTGGACCTGGGTTTGTTTTGTTCTAATCCTTATTACTTAATGCGGAAACTATATATTCCCACCATATTGAGCCTAACCTTTAGAATTTTCAGGTCAAAACATTAATGCAGATGATTAGGAGCTGGCAATGTATAGTTTATAGACAGTCCAATGGCTGTCGCTATCAGAGTATGGAAAATTTGAAACATCAGGTCAACTTCTTTCAGTACCATTAAATACGTGTGTTTTCTTTGTTTGTTTGTTTGTTTGCTATAACACATAAAGCTTCCTCCAACATATGGACAAGCCATTTTTATAATGACCTACGGCACCTCAACATGGAAATTTAAAGACATATACCTCTAATCTGAATAGCTACCTGGAAGACTGGCTCTACTGGATTCCACTGAGCAGTGACTAGTATGTGCCTGCCATTGTGCCATGCACTTTGGTTATATTATGAAATTGAACCTGACAATTCTATGAGATGAATACTATGATTATCCATATTTTACACATGAGGAAACTAAACAGAGATTTAAGAAGGTGCTCAAAATCATACATCTAGTGTCAGATCCAGGCCCTCATGACTCATCAGTCTATGAAGAACGTAGTCCTGACCTCCACGCTCTACCACGTGATTCTCGCAGAATAAACTAGTATTGCCCTTCTCTGTGCTCACAGCTACATGGAATCCTGGCCAACAAGCTAATGAAAAGCAACCTACCTAAGGCTTAAATGTCATCTCTGAAGGTTACAAAAACCAAGGGCGCAACAGAGCAGAGCATAAAGTTTGGAGCTGGACAACCTTGGTTTCAATATCCAGCTCCCCTGGCTTACCAGATGTGCGATTTAAGCAAGTTGCTTATACTCTGTAAATCTTGCCTTTTTCATCTGTAAAATATAATTATACCAACTTCCAGCTAGCCTGTCACAAGTATAAATAAGACAGTATATTTAAAGTATTCAGCTTTAATATGTAGTGACATGGCAAACACAAAATTCTTGGAAGAAATTCTCATACATCAGTGAGTCTGTAAAGTTCGACAAACAGGAGCTACACAAAATAGAATTCAAGATGCAAGATCTAAATTGACTGAGAGAAACATACCGCAGTGCACATTTTATAACCAACCCCAAAGTCAAAACGACATTGCTCATCCATAGAATAATTGATTCCAGGAAGTTCTGGGAGTTTGGGCCAATCATGTTCAAATGGGTCATCAAGGAGACAGTCATAGGAACTGTAGGAAGGAAAACATCGCATGTAGTTAAATGTTCATTCTTTTATCTTGTCCTAATGAAAAAAAAAAACTATCCGTAGCTTACATACTCTGGAATTTCCTTAGATCAGAGCAAGGCCACAAAAGCTTATCTTTAAAGGTTTTTGGTTTTAGTTCCATTCATAAACAAGACCCTTCACCCTTATTCATCCTAGGGAAAGGAGTCAAACATGACTTAGGGATGCAGCATAACCGTGACAGCCTTTTTCGTGTCCTGGAGCTCCTGCAGAGTGTGGCAGAGCAGATTCTGACACCTTTGCTACAGGATGTAGGTGGTATTATGAAGGCATCACAGGACCATCTCCTCCTCATCCTCAACTCAAATCTGACCATTCGTCAAAGATTCCATAAAGAATTTACTAAAAACAAAAATCATAGTTTAAATATCACTTAAATTCCAGGCTCATGGCTTAAAATATTGTGATCATATTATGGGATCATTGTGCCAACAGCTCTGAATTATAAGAAAATGTTTACTGTGAACAACAGTTTTCATTCACTGGGAGTTTTATTATGAAGGAGATCCTAAGAGTCAGTTTCCTGTCTGTATTTCTGCTACAATATAAATGCTCTCAGGACATGGAGAAAGGGACGCACTGGATGTATCTTTTCAATTCTTGGCCACTGCATCGGGACCAGTGGTAACGATGAAACGCTGCTTGCACCAACGGAGCCATGACGCTTCCCATAGCAGTCTCATCGCCGCACCTATTGCCTTGTCCATCATGCTCCATTCCCAGCCTAGAACACAAAGCGAGATCTCGTTGGTAAGAATCACAGGGGCCAGGGCTTCTGCTTATTTTCTGTTTAAAAAATAAATACAGTAGGTCCTCAATTATGCCATTCTGTGTGATGTCCTTTCCTTATAATGTTGATGAGATGCCGAAAAAAACGTAACTCTAGATTGTATCAAGTGGCCTATGGTAAAACTGGTTTCATTATGAGTCATTCTGCTTAAAGTTGCAGAATCTCTCAACGATGTTAACTGAGGGCTTACTGTATGGGGAAAAATGTATTTTTTAAGTGAACATGGCTATTGTGGAGGAGTCGCCGGCATTGTGGAATAGAGAACTGGACAGAAATGCCTTTCTAATTTTACAGCTATGAAAAGGGCAAGGGTGTCTGCAGCTAGAGTTGCTCATTTGGTTTCAGTGCATGACCGCTCCAGTGCTTCAGCTCCTCACTCTTGGCAAGGGACGGGAGTTGCATGCTGGCGTGCCCTCTGCCCACAGTGCGAACAATGCTGAGAAAAGCAGGCAAGAAAAGACCTTGTCTGGCTTTCTAGCTGTCAGCAGTGACTTACACATGGCCGGTTTCATGGGCCACTACAAAAGCAGATGAAAAACCATCCTCATGATTCAGGGTACAGCTTCTCACTGGATGACACATGCCTGTGACTGGCGCATATCCTGTAGAGAATAACAATTACTTTTATTTTCATTTCATGAGAAAAACCCATTAAGAATTACTACTGGACCTTTGCCTAGAAAAAAATATAAAAAAGCTTTTTAGGAAACAGAGGCAGTATTATTCCCCCGCTAGCATTGTGCCATGTTCTCTTGGGAAAGCAACAGGTAATGGTCTTTGAAAAAATTCACTGGGTCTGCATTTTCTCCTTTTCTAAGGGAAGGAACTGCCTGGGATTGCCATTCTGTTCTGCCCACCAACTAAGTGTTGTCTTTCTGTTTTAGTGAATGGTCCTTCATATCATGGTACCAACGAAGGGAGCCAGGAATTCCATCAGCATTGAAAAGAAAATCGTCGGTCTTCTTTTTCCAAAGCCTGCCCCAGAATTTATTAGCTCAATGTAAGCTGACTTCGGGAGAGAGCTCTCTGGCCGCAGTCACTTCTCATGGCATCTCTTTTCCCATTCCAATGCTTAGTGGAGATCACACTGCATTTTATAGACTCTCCTCCATACCTCAAACGCACCATCATTATGTTAAAGGCAAGTATAATTTATTATGGAACCTAAGTGGCATTTAATATGGTGAATTCCACAAGAGTCACTGGAAGCAATAGAAAGAAAATGTATGCTTGGCTGATGCATGGTGGAAAGTAGATGGAGGGAGAGATATAAAATGAACATTTGAACAGACTCCCTGATTTAAGATTACTTCGGAAAAGTCATGCCCTTGAGTTTTTCTTCTACATCTGAATGGAAATACCTTGCATTCCAGCAGGTCCAAAGTCTTGCCTGGTTAAGAAAATTGCGTGATCATGGTGTTCAGAGTGGTTGGGATCAGATTTTTGTTGTTGGCAAGCCCAGCGACACACATTCTCCAAGCTTCTGGATGGATTTCCCCTTTCTATGAGGCTGATGGACTGAGAGGGAATAATATGTTGAAGACATACATAACATTTGCCCAAAGGCTTCTTTTAATAACTTTAGCTGAAGTTAACATTTTGGATTACAGCATTTAAATAAATGTTCGATAATATTATTTGGGAGCTATTTAGATACCTACTTTAGTTTGGGAATTTTAAATGCCCATGAAGGAGCTCTTCACGATAATTAATATTACCTGTGTGAAAGGTGACTGACACCATATATGGCAATATGCGATACTGAGATTTGCTATTGCGAGGTAACTCAATGTTAGGCATGGGGTTAAGAACTCTAGTAATCTAAATATTTCCTAATTCAGCTTAGATTTTTAGTTTCACAGGTATTACAAATAAAAAACAGAGGAAAGATTCTGGCATGAGACTTTTATCCAGAGCTGTTAAAGTGAAAGATCTTTAGTTAAGATTTTTGTGGGTGCTCCAGAATTAATCAACATATGGGGAGAATATAAATTCTTCAATGAGCTGTCAAAGCTGGTTAAATCTTAGTTAACGGGGAGTGGTCAAATTCTATAAGCCTCACACTGTGAAAAACAACTCTCCTTTTTAAGCTCACAGCAATGAAGAGAGGTAGGGGTGTAGACTTATCTTGTAGTTCCAATAGATGGATTGGAGTTCCTTGGAATGTTGCTACTGTCACATTATGGTCAGGAGTTAAAAGTTCAGGGGGAAGGGACCATCCTTCAAGAACCAGGAGCCACACTTCCCAGAGTAGCTCTGCTGGAATGAGAAATTGAACTTGCAACCCCAAATTAATTAGTCCCTGCTTGGCTGACAGCCTGAGAGTTTTATTATATTTCAGCACATGTTATTATCAGTGTTTACATTCTTTGCAAAATTAGCTTGGTTTGTTACATGCTGATCGCAAACTTCTCCAAGAAAATAATGTAACAACCAGTGAAGGCGGTTAACGTCTCCTACTGGATTGACTTGGATTCAGTGTCATCAATGCAAAGTCCGTCAGGTTTATGGGAGAAACAAAAGATCAATGACACCCTCTTATTGGAAAACGATAAGTGGGTGTTAAATACATGATGAAATGCAAGCACATGGATTTTTTTTCTATTTGCTAACTATATAACTTCATTAGTATTTCATAATCAGAAGAATTTAATTATGGGAGGGGGATATAATTTTAAACATCAAGAAAATTGCCAAGTTATCACTTTCCCTATATTTTCTCCCCAAAGGGAGAAACCATTTCATCCTTTGCATTATTTCCAAGGAAAGGGACACATCTAGTGCCATCTTAAAGTCAACTATAGTTAGTTACATCCCATGAAATGCCTACTATGTGCATTTTGATCTAAATTTTAATTTTCAAAAGGACTAAAGCTCTTTTAAATTAAAATATTCACTATGTGCTTTACTTTTTTAAAACAAATTATGTGAGGGAAGGATCTTTGTCATTTTTCTTCACTGATATATCTGAAGCACCTAGAAAGCATCTGACACTCAATCAATATATGTTTTGAAAGAAAAAGATGAATCATAAATTTTATAATAATGATAAGACTAAGATATTCTCGTTCCTCACAATGGTATCCATTTTTTTTTTCATCCATATTGTTATGCTTGATGTCAGGATAACTATCTACTACTCTATTACAGAGGTAAACCAAGGGAATGGTACCAGCACACAAATCATTCATTATCTGCTCAAATTTGGAGATCTCTACTCACGGTATCTGTTTTTCTTCATCAGTTCAGTGCAACTGAGGTTTGCACGAGACTTATCTGTGCCATCTGTTGGCTGTAGCTTCAACAGCTTAATCTTCTATTTGCTAGCCCCGTCCTTAACATTATCGTTCACATATTTTAAGACACTTACCTTTGCATAACCCAGCATGATCATGCGCACCAGGACCACATTTATATGTACTCCGAGGGACTCATCATGGTAAATTTCATTCACCTAGAAACAAAGCAGATACTTACTAAAAGAAAGGGAACACAGAGGATGTTGCCAAATGTGTAATAAGTAAGGGATCAGCCATGTAATTACAAGTACTGAAGTCAAATCACTTTTTAAAAATGTACTAGTTTAAACTGAACTCTGAGATGAGATCACGTTTAGCTTTGGAATTATTGTTAGTATGTGAATTACTGAGTTTGCATGCTCTGAAATATCATGAACATAGAGAATATGCTATAAAAGGGCCTCATTAAACTACTGTAGTTAGTCAACATGTGCTATAATCCACATATAACATTTACCAAAAGCATCCACTAGAGGGTGACTCTGGTGAAGCCTCTGCTAGCTGTGGCAGCTGGGGTGGTGTGTCTGGTTGAGAGAGCCCGTGGAAGTAGAGCCAGTGTTCAGGGATGGGAGTCTGTCAATGCCCCTCCCCCAGAGGAATGCGGCAACTAGGCAACTAGGCAATGATTATTTAGAAGTCCAACAGAATAGAAGTTCTTCCATATTTGAATTACTAATGTGATTGTGTGAGTGCATAGCAGATGAGTGCATGTCAGGCCTGGATAGAGCTCAGAAAAGCAAAGTTGAGTACCTGCTTTTATTTACTATTTAAAGTTACATTGAAATTTCTAAGAGTGATTGGGTGTACTGTAAAACCATAGATATTAGGATTTAAGCAACTTCAGAGGTCATAGTCCAAGATCATTTTATTTTTATTTATTTGTTTTTAATATATATATTTTTTATTGATTTTTTACAGAGAGGAAGGGAAAGGGATAGAGAGTTAGAAACATCCATGAGAGAGAAACATTGATCAGCTGCCTCCTGCACACCCTCTACTGGGGAAGTGTCCGCAACCAAGGTACATGCCCTTGACAGGAATCAAACCCGAGACCCTTGAGTCCGCAGGCTGATGCTCTATCCACTGAGCCAAATGGGCCAGGGCCCAAGATAATTTTATGCAAATGAGAAAGATGAAGCCTGTAGATATTAACTTACATATAAAACACACGGAAAGTTATTGGCAGATATGAATCCAAAGTGGACTGTATTTTCTGTGGAATCTAGTGCAAATTAGTGTGATGAGGAACACTTCATAAGTTCAGAGATGCCAGCAGGA